TATCCAATAAATTAAATGAAAAGTAGAACATTAAAAGAATGGAATATATTTAGCAACAAAGAGAAACATATAACTGATGCATGTGGTAACATAGACTAATCTAAAACTTTGAAAAGTGAAATTCCAGATCCAAAATAGATATTATTTGATTCTGTTTACATGTAATGCTTTTAAGAGGTAAACTGGCAGAGTCAGACAATAATGTGGACTTTCTCATGACTGGGCAACAGACATAAGTTTAGATTAGCAATTTCTAGGAAAGTTTATGATGGTGGATAATTTTAAAACAGAACTGTGGTAAAGGTCATAAAATCCTGTAAGTTTATTAAAACTACTGACCTGAATATTAACAATGGGTATTTGTAATATTAAAATTATACATTGATGAAACAATAATGCTAATTATGATGATGATTAACACTAATACTAATAATGAAATACACATTGGAAATTTCAACTCAGATCCAAAGGAATTCACTAGAATATATCTACTGTTTATAAAAAAAAGATGGTGACTAATAAGTTAAAATTGAGCTACTGTTTCCTAAGACTCTGCTATCTTTCAAAGTTAAACAACATTTTCCATGTTCTTCGCTATGAAGTGGCCAATTAATCTTTATACCTTAGCAGATGCAGCCAGTCTACTATGGAACTGTACACAGTAAATGACTTTTTTAAGAATCAGAATTTCTTTGGTTTATTTCAAATTGCTTCTCTGAAACCATAAGATTGAGTTCCAAATTGAGGGGGGGGCCTCATTTCCTGAACATTGTAATTTTTTTCTTTTTTCCTCACTTTGTTTCTTTGTAGCTCAGAGAAAGGTAGTATTTGTTGCATTTGTGGAAATTGCAGGGATTTGCATTAGGTTTACTTGCAGTTATTTACAAGGCATCAAACTCATCTTATTTCCCAAATAAAAAAGGTATTTTCAAAATTTAAATGAATGTTAACACTGAATCACAGCCCAGGTGCTTTATTACTCCAAAGTGCATTAGTTACTATCTCCATTCCATTTCACAGTCTGTGTCTAGTGAACAAAGACTTTCAAAACCACTGTACAATTGTTGAAAATTTCTCTATGTTGGAAATTCATATGTTCAAAAGTTAAGGAACTACTTTTTAAAAGTTAGAATGTTATTGTATACTTTACAAAATTATGAATAATGATACAGTAACATGTTTGCATGTATATGTTTTATTCATAAAATAAAATTGGTGTAAGTATTAAAGTTTTATAAATCTCTTAGCTTTTATCTAAGCTCCCCTTAACATTTTTTGTAATAATTGATTATAATTTGAACATCTTACTAAATCATGAGGAAAGTGAGAGCCGGGGCTTTCGTGCATTTCTTCTAATCACACAACAAAACATAATAAGGAATGACAGATATTATCACACAAACATAAAACCTCATGTACTATGAGGTATAAAAGTATTTGGAAAGGAGATCCTATGGTATGAAAATTTAAAAAACAAGGACAAAAGGCCTATCTCTTCTATTTATATTGCTTTTCAACTACCTCTGTAAATATCTTTACAGTGTAAGTCCTCAAGATTTGGTTTCAAAAGCCATTCATCATGTCCACTATTCCTGGCAGCTTCAAAGAGCCTTTGTTAGCACATATTATAACTGTGTGTATTTTCTCTGTTATCAAAACAGAATTAAAATATTTATTAACTCATTTGAAATACTAAAACCACTCTGCTTTAAAAACATTACATATGTTTAATAAAACGATTTTACTAAAGAAGAGAGAATGGTGCCACTTGTTCCCATTCTTCAATCTGTCTCTTTGAGACATATCCAAAGAGAGCTGAATTCTCATGTTTATTTTTATATGCAATCTCTCCTGATGTCACACAGTAGATAGCCTCCAAAAAAAACCTGGATATTCTCAAAGAATGAGAAGGATAAAGGCAAAACTCACGGTAGCAACACTCTTAGAGCAGTTTGAGTTGGTGGATCCATGAAAACAGCATGGGACCATAAGACTCCACTATCCATATCTTGAGATATGATTGACAAGGGGAATGCTATTAACCTTTTTTGTCTTTATGCTTCTCTTTTGGCTATATATGTCTAATAAGATATTGTCAGAGATACACAGTATATCTACTTTAAATGAATTTAGGTAACCAAAATGTTTTCTACTATGTTTAGGAGAATGGGTATGCTACATTTTATTCTTCACTTTGTTGCTCCTATCCTTGGGTTCAGATGTTATCTATGGGTTTGTATAGCATTTCATTACTATGGAAGCTACCATTCACATTATTTTTCTCTAAACATAAGAAACAAGTAGGGATGGAAAAACTTGCTCTGGAAAATTTTATATGTACAGGAAATGACCAGACTATAACAAATAGTTCAACACAATACAGCTAGTGTTCTAGCTTCCATGATCACAAAATCATGGCCAATTTTGTTTCATCCACCTGTGTACTTTTCTCCATACCTAGTTAGTTTTTAAGCAAATTTTAGATATGCTACCATTATTTGTAAATATTTTAGTATGCATCTCAAAAAGATATACTCAATCACAATTAAAGATAATAAGAACGTATTTTATTTTTGAAAATGCTCATAGAATAAATGCAAAACATTCCCATACAAACAAAATAACATGGGTAATAGCTTCCTTTAACCATTAAATAACACACACACGCACACACACAAATACACATGTACAAACACATATACATGCATGTATATATATTTATTTCAAAATATCATGTTATACATGATAAGTAGATAGTTTTTATCTGTCAAGAAGTTTTCCTGAATTAAAAAAATACAAAATGGTATTCATAATATTAATTACTAAATAATTAGTATTTAATTATTATCAATAACCTTATAGTAAATCATAGCTAGCTTGATCTTGGCAGCACACAATGACATGTCATAAGGTTGAGTTTTCTCTTTGATGGTTTGTCTACCTTTAGGCACTGTACAAAGACTATCACATGTGGCTCCTGATTCACAGCTTCATAGATTTAAAATAATCTAGATTCCTAAGGATTTACTGAAAATGTTACAGATTATTTCACGATATTTAATTGTGTATGAAACTGTGTTCCCTGAGGATAAACAAAACTACACATTTAGTAGTAATTATTAAAGTGTGAATAAAAATGGAAAATATTATATTATTTTAGGAAAATAAAAAAGAAAGGGAAACTCGGAGAGCAATAACATGCATTTATTTGAAAAATTAGTTTCCAAAAATAATAATTCTTTTCTTCACTATGAAAGAATGAAGGGAAATAAGTTTAGTTTTAGCATAGAATATTTATAACAGTAAATTAATAGGATTTATTACTAGCATTCTTATAGTTTAGACTTTCTGTAGTTCAAGTAAGACCATAATGAGTTAGAGATGACAAGGCTGAGAGGAAACATTTGATATGAAATAGAAATAATGACATAAGTAGACAGATACATTGATGTATAACCTGTTCATTTATGGAAAATGCTTCAAGATTTCTATTATCTATCCCATAAAAATAATATTAGCATTACCAGAAAACATTATGCAATTTTGATTTATCTCCTGGAAGCAACTGAAATAATTTTCAACAAAGAATAACTTCTACAAATACCTCTTAAAGCACTAATTGGATTCAATATGTAAAATTTTTCTAAAAAATGAAAATCAAATCTAAATATATACTACAACTATAGAATGTACTTTATAAGAATGAAGTGAGGGAAAACAGAGCACTTAGGATTTAAATATTTCCCTTGTATTTTCAACCTGAACAACAATATATACATAAAGTTAAAATATCTTTCTTTGGTACAAAAAAATACCCATCCTAACAGGAAAACAATGCTAGATTTCTAAGTGACAAGTATTCTGTGGAAATAGAGAGCAGACCATTCCTCATTGCACAATCTTGTATCAAAGTCTACAATACAATTGCAGCTGAGGAGACAAGTGCCTTCCAGAGTCACCATGAAAACAAACAAAATGAAAGAAGTGTGTGCACCATGTTAGATCTACCTCTGTACAGAGAGCACAACAATGTCTTTAAAATATTACCAGGATTTTCTGTTTATATTAAGTGAACGTGAAACACAGATAGTGTGCAGTAACTGAGAAAGAATACAAGAAATACCTAGGGTATATTTCATCAACTTGAAAAATTTATTTTATCTCATACTTCAAATAATGGAAATATCATTTGTAATATGAATGTTTCATAATTTTTAAGCATTTTAGGTCTAGGATATACAAAGAAATACAAAAATATTTATGCTAGAAGAGATGTAGGAACCATGACAATGAAATACAGTGTGAGCTCTAGATTGTATCTTGAGGCAGTAGATAAAATAATTGATTAGTGGAGAATCTCAAAATTTGGGTAAAACTCACAGCTGTTTTAATATTATATCCATGTTGATTTTCTTGGGTTGATTTATGCTAGATTTCTGTCAACATTAGGAAAGCTGGTCAAAGAATGGGCAATACAGCACTCTGGACCATTTTCTTGAAGTCCGAAGTTATTCCAAAATAAGAAGCTTAGAAAGCCTATTATCAGCTTTGATCTATAAATAGACACAAGTAATCCTAAAGCTCAGCATGATTGTCAGTGTTCACCTTGGATAAATACAGAAGACTCTAATCCTGAAATCTCCAAGTCTCTATTTTCTCTATACTCAGCAATCATAGCATTCAAGAGAGCAAACCACACCATAATGTGGTGACCATAATACTTCCTGAAAGAGTAATTATGAGTACTGCCAAATCATGCACTGTTAAAAATACAGAAAATGAAGAGGGGATCTGTACCATTTAGTGACTCTTCATGCAAAAATCATGTCATTAACGTTTTTTTGTGTTCAAATGAATAGCCTGCTATTTTCGGACATGTGCTAAAATAGATATAAATGCTTGTTTTCTAAAATTCAACGAGTCATTTAAACTGCAATACAAATACATATGTCAATATGACATTAGAATTAGAAATAATCAGATAGTTCAGGTTGCTTTACCTGAAACTGTGTGGTCCTTGGAGTCTCTGGTTATTTTTATCCTTGCATGAGGAAAGATGTAGTGCATTGTCTTGCCATTCATCTGCAGAATCTAGGACATAGAAGGGATTCGGTAAAAGAATAAGTAATAAAATCCCTTGAAATACATTATGCAGAACTACACTTGCTCAATTCAAAGCACACCAATTACATCAATGAAAATATACCAGAAGATTCTTTCTTGAGTGATGGCAATTGAAGAATTTACACTCATACTGCATAACGATTAAATCAGTTTCTGAGTTCATTATGATGTTTTATTTATAATCAATCACTCTTGAAGACTGACTTGTCTTATTTGGGAAATCAATGTGCATGTATATCTGGTGTTCAAGGATGTTTCTGACTACAGTGATATGTACTCATTATTGATGACAATGAATAATTTATATTGAGAAAATCCAGCCCTTGATTTTGCACTTGAAGGTTTGGAAATGGAAAGGCATTCTTAACTTTAAGCAATTATGTGGAATTAGTGGAGAAATCTCAGAATATCCCCTCTTGTCACATCTCCATCACCCTAACTAGGTCTGTGCTAGATTTAAGGTACTTGAATTTTATTGTGAAATTCCACTGAGGACATCTACTAGATTCTAGTTCAGAATAGTTCTGTCTAAATGAATAAAGACTTTGTTCATGCAAATGCTCCCTGATTCTGTCTTTATATTCAAAGGTTATGTTGCTGATGGAGATATTTCTTATTCCTACAGGAATTCCTAAAGCAGAAGGAACAACACTAAAGCTACTCTTGTGTGTGTGGTGTCCACACTATCACACTACTGGACTTTGTTTTTTTTTTGGGGGGGGGAGGGTTGTTTTTGTTTGTTTGTTTTTTAATTTATTCTATTTATTCATGTATTTTGATCCCATTCATTTCCCAGTTCCTTTGCATTAGCCCTCAGCCTCTGCACCCCTCATAAAACAAAATTTAACAAAAAAGGAAAAAAATAAAAGAGAAAAAAATTAAAAATCTCATCATAGAAGTTGCAGTGTGACATAGTGAGTCATGCCATAAACCCCTTTGTCCATACATATTTATTTGCAAATGTTCATTGCAAAAAGTCATTGGTCTGGTTTGAGGCCTCTGGAGACTACTACACTATCGATGCTGGGTTCTACTAGGTCTCTTCCTGGGTATACTATTGTTGACATTATTCCTTAAAATTGGTGTACACCACCTCACTCTTATTTCAATGATTTTATGACTTCATGTATATTTAATGACAATTTAAGTCATTTACTAAATTGGTCAAAAACAAACTAAGACAACACTATTTTGCATTTAGGGTTTCTTTCTGTTTTCTAGATTCTTACTGCAGATATAATCATAATGCACAGACTGCTTCCTAGTGTGTTCATGAGAGTTTTTTATCAGTAAATCGTTATCACATTTTAATCAATATCTGTGATGTTAGGATACTTCATTTCCATGATGGTTTCCTTGGAGTGTTTCCACACAATTCCACAATTTTTAAGACTTTGCAACCAGCATCATGAGTTCACTTACTAAAATATTAAACTTTTATAGTTATGATTGATATGAATGAGCCAACAGACAGCAGAATCACAATTCAAGGCAAATACTGACAGAGCCTTCTGGAAAATAGACTTACAGGCCATCTGATTTTTGTTTGTTGGTTGGTTTTGTTTTGTATGAAATCAATATTATCAAGAGCATACCAAGGGACACAAGGAGATTAAGTGATGCACCAAGGTGCTAGACTCTGCTGTTATGGTCTTCTGATGATTCTACATCAACAAGATTGTCACCTGAATGTATACCAGAAAATGCAGTGTTCTTTCCTAACCACAAATATTTTCATGGGCCGAGTCTACATATTCATAAAGTAATTAAATTTGCATTAGCATAGCTTTATTTACACATTAATCCTCTTTGATTAGCACAAATGCTCAATATAGGGAACAGATGTTGGCCTGTTTCCCCACACTATACTGGACACTGCACACTTACATGTCAGGGTGTGTAGGGCAGAGAGCTGCTATGTTGTATATGATCATGGTCAAAGACATGACACAGTTTACACCAAAGCATAAGGGAAAGAGACTTTCTCCAGTTTTGTAGCAAGATGTCCTATTGCATGAGGGGGCTTATACATGACAACCTGAATGACCAGTATGCTTAGCAAAGTAACCAGAGTCTAGAGAGAGAAAACAGAATGTTCAGCTACAAATATACGAAAAAGCATGGCCCCTTCAGAGGAGCTTAATATACCAAAGGAGGAGCTCCATAGGGTTTGTAGATGACATGTACTTTACTTGACAGTGGGGAATATTGCTATAGCCAATATATAGTGACTTACTTTTACAACTATCATGTAAAGGATATTGATCCTCTTTATAAAGAAAAACCTTAAAAATAAATAAGATAACATGGTCTATTTATTTCACAAAGAACATTTGGATTTCTCTTGAAAAGTACAAACATTTGAAAGGAAACAAATATTGCTTTGTTAAATTTGTAGTTAATATGACTGTAAATCTAATACTTTTTTTCAGAAATAATCCTGTATCCATGTAGTGCTTTGTGTATAAATTTTTATAGAAGACAAATTCATGTTTGAATTAGTCAATTGGATTTTATCCTCTTTCCCCCAGAGCACGTCACGAGAATAATTTCTTGTTCAGGTTTCAAGTAACAGCATCCTCATTTATTAGTATCAAAAGCTAAGTATTACCTTTTATTATCAGATATACAAAGACGTAAATAAAATGAAAATGCCTATAGGCCAAATAAAGTTCTTGATATAAAGGAGAAAACAGTATTTGAAGTCAAATATCAATACAGGAAAGCATAAACTCAACATGTTATTAAACTTTGCAATGCTATATATTTAAGAAATATGCTATTTTCTATATAAAATCCATTTAGAAAACATATAAAGTAAGACACATTATTGGCATAAAAATCAACATGCCTGTTACTTGTTGAAGAAGAGACTATGATTCAAAATGGGCATGCAAGTTTCTGGGGCAGGCTATATTCCCTGTCTTGGCTATTGGGAGTACTTGTATGGCTGTTCACTTTATAGTAGTTTATAACTTTATGTGTTTGTCCTTTTGATCATTACATATTGTTTTATAATTCAATGGGTATTAATGCAAAGGTTCATTTTGAAAATGTAAGACTTCTATTAGCAATAAAATACATTATGATTATTACATTCATTAACAAGGATCTTTATGCTTCTATTTCTTGAACTAGCCAGAATTTTATGAAACAATCTTCAATAAACCCTTTCTGCTTTATTTTTGCATTACACTAGTCTATAAGTACATATTTAAGATATGATGTACTATGTCCTCAGTCAAAGTTACTGATTTGTATATGTCAATATCAGAAAATTAAAAACAAAATGTCATTTGCAATACATATATTTCATCTATCTAAGTAGAACAGAACATAATTTTCAAAATTTATAGGAATAGATACAGATTACCTCACTACATTCTCAAATAACATTGGGTAATAATTTAATTGAAGAACTCTTGAGTATCCAGGGAAGAGTATTTGATGGCAAGGGGAATTTTAGACTTGTGGTTTCTATAGCAGGTGTTATTATGATTTTGTTAACATATTTAACATTCCATTGACTTTGTCCAGGCTTTTAGGGAGTACTAAGCTACAGAGATCCAGATGGCCAATAAATAATAATTATATTCGTTTCATTATTGTGGACATTCCTAGTTAAATCTTTATGATAAGAGTTGAAACATAACTATAAATACAATGTTAAGAGCAACAGGAAAATAAAATTTAATACAATCTATGTTAAAATACAAAATAAAGAAAAGTATGTAAACATTTAGTCAATATATTCCTAAACAAGAGTATGTTAAAAACAAGAAAAGGGAATGTTTACTCACATATATCTATACTGCACAATGTTCTTGCAACCTCTTCATTAGCCCATGTATTTTCCTTTATTCAGTACCAGAGATGGTTTATCCATACAATAATCATCTATTGCATGAATGAATCATTCAAATTGTCTGATAGAAGCATCAAAATGTCCATCAAATTAATAAAATAAAGTACTTTCTTCATTAAATTACTGAAAGGAAACAATCTTGAACTTGATTGGCAAATATTTAGGTTAACAGACTTGTCTATTTTAGAACTAAATCTTTTTGCTAACAAGTCCAAGAAACTGTAAAATTTCACACTTACTTGCTCTTGATGTTGACTGAGGGGTCTAGAGTGAACCAATCTTTCTGGCAGTTTCCGGTCCAGACCATGGCCATTTTCCAACCGAGACTCCCTGGGTTTATCAAACCAATCCGTTTCCTCCCGACGTAAGTGATAGGCTTTGGAGACCAAGGAAACATCATACATTGCAACCGCAACTAATACAGGTGATAGAGGGAAGCAAATGGTCTGCAGTATTAGCATGCACTGGGCTTGTTGACCACAGCATGCATTTCAGACATAACTCCCATCAGAGCTAGAAACATTTCCAATAGTATCTACAGATTTTCATACAACAGAATAATCTAAAGAAAAAGAGGTACATATATGCACAACATCTCATAGTAAAATAATACAACACAAAATTACATTTTAAAATCAGTGTAAATGAAATTTCAAAGACAATAAATAAATAAATAAATAAATAAATAAATAAATAAATAAATAAAATTATATAAGAATAATTTTGGTCAACTTAAGTCCATCAATTCTCACTTAGAAATCTTACCTACAACCCACCATGTATGACCAAAAGTCAACAGGAAATGCACTATGTGCATATGCAGTGTTTCTTAACTTTCCACTTTTAAGAAGCCGCATATGGCTTCTGGTTTTAACACCAAGTGAATATATATTTTTGAAAATATGACAACTCTTTGACAATCATAAGTAAACAAAAGCATTTAATGCTAAGATACCCTATGTTTCATTGCTAGGAATACGTGTACTACAAGATCATTATAGCTTAATAATAAAAATATATCTAAAATTGGTATGTATGTGAGAATCTTTAATATAAATAAAATTATAATTATCTGAATTTTAACACTAAATTAGAAATTTGACAATTACTTTTTATTAACTTACCAATATGATAAAACTTGACAGTACATTTTGCAATTTTAATCACATTTAAAGCATTCAAATACAAATTTAAAAATTTCACCTAGTTATATCAATACTTTCTAGGTTTCTTTAGGGTATTGCAAAGTGACTAAAACTTACATTTTACTGAATGGCTAACACTGGACTTAGCATACATTGCTTCTTCTTGACATTCCTTGGCTATGCTCTTACCCCACCTCAGTTAATAGCCTTTGGAAACAATATATTGTAGTTTCTCAAATGGCAATGAAAGGACCTGTTCCCTTGCTGAACCTGATACATGATGATTTCAATATATTATTTTCTTGAAATGGCAGCTTCTAAAATGTCACAGATTGAGCTCTTCTCTCTATCTTGTTCAAGATATCTTGGTTTTTTTGTGTCTACTTTATCTTAAGAATTTCTGCAGAGACTGCCTTTTCCAGTATTTATTGGATGGTAGGGTTAGACAGTCAGTGTGTTCACCACTGCTCAGGTGCACATCTGTAGCCTTGCGCACCACTGGTCCTCAATTACACCACCTCTCCCATGTAAACATGGAGTGAGAGGGTGACATAGCACTGTTTTACCCATTTCAGACTTGATGCTTTGATTGAGGCTACATATACTCTTAACTGATTTGCCTATTAGACTAGTAGTTGCTTGAAGAGGAAATTCATATCTCTTTTGTTGTTTTCTCCTCTTGGAATTTTTTCCTCCATCTTATTTGGAGCATAGTGTTTAATAAATTTTTGTGCTAAGCATAGAGTTATTTGTCACCATCAAAAGAAAGAAGCTAAATATAATTACGATAGTTTTAGATAAATAACTTGTCCTTATACCTAATTCATAGATATTCAATATTCTTTTCACAGTCTACTGGATAATTATTTTGGTAAACCACAGTACTAATTTGAAGCTGAGTGAATAAATTTACAAAATTTTTCAGTATAACAACTACTTGATAAATAAAAAAAAACCAGATAGTCATCAGTCTGTGAACTTAGTAGATTACATTTAACCTCCCTTAGGTGAAAATAATTTTGTATAGGTATTACATATATTTATCATTCATTTTTAAGTTTTTTTTAAAAAGAAAGTAATGATTCATCATGTTTTCAACACGTGGTTATCCTGAATAGTATAGACTTTTATTTGAATATGTAACTTCTCTAATTGCCTTTTAAATGCAACTGTTTAAATGTGTTTTAGGAGTTTTTAGATACTACAAAGATGACAGAACCTCAACCTGATCCAGGTTTTGTCAGTTTATCTCTAATTCTGGTGACTTGTTTTGATTTTTGTTATTTCTAATACTATTTCCATATGTAACTGAATGGAAAAGATATGCATCATTTTTTATAGGATGCAGAGTCAATCTAAGGCAACCGGATAGAGTGACTCTGTCTTCCTCATGAAGTGTCAGGTATTCAGGGTTATCTATTCCTAATAGCCTGTGTTTGATCTGCTGTAGTGGAACCACATTACAAATGAATTTTATAAAATGTAACATATATGTTCTATGCTGATGCAAATAATTTTCTTTGCTTTTATATCACTATAAAACTTCATGTATTTGTATAAAATACAAACAATGAAAATATGTAACATTTTATTGTGCACGTATTTTAAAGATATCCAGGACAATGCAATCACAAAGTTACTAACATAATTCAATTTGTTATAGCCCTTTACCTAATTCTCTATTGATATTCTTTATGAATGAATGAGTTTTGTCCGCTTCATTTTAAAATATATTTTAGTTCTTAAATTTCCCTCCAATTGTTTTTTCAGTTGGGCACAATCTTTATCTGCCTTACTACTGTGTAGGGTATGTGCTCTCTTATCATGTTATCATGAAACAAGAGTTCAGTCAGTGATTCCTGCTATACACAGAATTCTAGAAATAAAAAGGACTTGGTTAATTTAATTTGTGTGGACTCAAATAAATGCCACATTTGGGACTAGTTACAAACATTTACATCTCTAACACCAAGAAGACACATTTCTGAGGAATAATCCCATTTGTCACAATCTTCCCAGGTAACTGTCACCTTTGTGCTCATATCCTTTAGGTATTGAGTTGCTCTGTAATTCCAAGAGTTCTCGTTTTATTTTTACAGATATGGCCATTGAATGGCTTCTTATTCCTTTTCACAGTCATTCTACATGTATACAATGAGTATCAAATATGTACTAGACTAAAAGAACAACTGTTTCCACATAGTATCATAATTCCAGGTAAGCTAAATGGATTAATTAAAATATTAGCCTAGTACAGATACACACAAATGAAATGTTTTACTCAAATAACAAACTGTCAATAAAAATGGTCAACCAATTGCCTGTAATGAGAAAAAAAACAGGTTTGAAAGAAACTTGGTGATCAGAACTTCATAAGCAACACAAATGGTTCTTTTACCTCAGGCCCACAGACCTCCCTCTTCAGTTCATCAAACAGTCTATATTTCAGTTCTAAAATCATGTCTGTGTCTACATACAGAATAAAAAAAGAAAATGCTCTTTATGAAAACACATTTTAATGTGAGTTTTTAACTGTGCAAGTTAGATACAAATGGGAGGATATTCACATCAGTTTAGTTTTTTTTTTTTAGTATCCAAATGAATGAAATAATATTTTTATGTGTTTAGACATGTTTTATTTCCAGGGCTTCGGCCCCACATATATTCAAACACAAACCAATATACAGGATGGGTACAGTGGCTCATGTCTTTGATACAAGCACTTATGGGCCTGAGATAGGCAGGTCACCATAAATCTGAAGCTAGTCTGAACCGTATAATGAGTTCCAGGCCTGCATGGGCTACAGAATAGGATCTATCTAAAAAATTTAATAAAATAAATAAAAAATATATATCTAACATCACAGACTCACAAAATAATTTTGAAAATCTTTATATTTCTATAAGAATTTCCACTTTAAAGAAACTTTAGTATAGTTTGTACTTGCTCAACCAAAAAAGTAGCATGACACTTTGGGGCAAAAAGGAAAGGCAAGGAAATGGCAAAGGGGTACAGCAGGAAGGACTAGACTCCACGGCACAGCAGGAGGCAAGGCTCCAGACAGCTACACCCACAAAAGCAGTCCACATATTTCTTCAGTTTTGAACAGAATGTTTTATATGTACTGAAAAATTATTTTAATTTCTTAGAGTGAAACTTTCTAATGTAAAACACTAAATATACAAAATTGTCAGTAATAATTTTCATAATAAAGGAAGATGAAACACATCTATTCAATGGGAATGATAAAATTCTACATCATACTAACGTCAAGTTGTTGCAAAAGCTCTCCATAAGAGAACAAGCTCTGGTGGGGCAAACACTCATCTCCATTCACAGTAGAACCAAATACTATTACTGAATGGCTCTAACCCTTAGTGATTTTAGTAAAATTTATTAAATATGTCAAAATCTATTTTTGAAGTGGAAAGAACCATACAATGAAAATCTTCCCAGTTATATATTTTAAGGATGACCATATTTTATTGATAGAATTATGTAATATTTGTTTAAAAAATGATATACAAAACAAATCAAGCCAACAATCAAGAAACAGACTAAAATAATAAACTAAAAATAATCAAAGAGAAACATGCCACTGAATCTACATACAAGAAGTACACATACAAGAAATAAAACTGAAATAAACATGCAGAAGTTGCACCAAGAAAGATGAACTGCATCCTTGGAGAAAGAAAATTAAACATGCAGAAAGGTACGAGTTTGAGTTTTGAGAGTAACACGGTAGTTTGAGGCCCCATTTACCTTCACTGTCAGACATAGCATGTTGGAAGTCATCCATGATGAATGCTATGTCACGGTCATACCCCCGTGTCCGTGACTCTTCTCTCATGTGCTGCTGAACTTCGGGCAATGAGTGACTTGATCCAAACTGATCCCTTGTGTCTGCAGATATGGGGGGCAAAGGTCCAGCTGCAGCCCTGGCCATTCCCATTGGTTGGCCAACAGGACTGAGTGGACTTTCTTCTTCTGAATTCTGGGCCACAATTGGTATTCTTCCTCTACTTTGGCTGATTGGTAAGCTGGTGGGCTTAGTTCTGGAAGAAGATGATGAATGGCCAAAGGAGACATCAAGAGCTTCAGCCTCTTGAGCTTTCAGTCTTAGCGATGAGCTGGAAGATTCCCTCTTAATGGATAAATCAAGCCCATAGACAGATGAAGGTCTAGAGGAAGGTCTGGACCTGCTCCCGCTGCTGTATGGTTTATCTGCTTCATCCTGGAGTGCTGACCTGATGGTATTTCCTAATGTGCCTAGTCCTGACCCAAGTGATGAGCCCATAAATTTTTGTTGATCTGTAATATTTTTTCTGAGGCCAAATGTTATATCATCTTGAAGAAGCCTTGCCCTAGAAGAAATGCCACCAATAGATGAAGTGCTGGAACTCATATAACTTGGATAATCTGGTTCAAGGTCTCTACTTTCTTGAATAGGTGAAAACTTTGACATTTTAGGGTCAATTAATGATTTCTTATGCTTTGATTGCTTTTGGTAAAGTATGGCTGCTGGTAATTGTTTGGCTGCTTGCTTTTCAAGGGTGAGTCTACTGATGCTATACTTCTCAGACTTGGGAAAGTGTCTATAGCTAGTATCAGCATGGTAATAATGTGAAAGACCAGCAAGGTGATCTAGGCTCTCCGTCCCTCTACGAAATTCCTGCTTAATCTGCTGTTTCAGAAGCTTTAACTCATACGGGTCCTCCATCGGGTCCTCCTCCGCTTTCACGTAGCTATGCAATCTTGAGGAAGTCTGCAAAGGTGCTAGGAAATCTGTCACTTCCTGAGACCTCCGTGTCTCAGTGGTTCTAAGGAGACGGTCTGTTTTGGACAGATCCTTTTCATGAAGACTAAATGCTGTGCTCAGTGCTGCTGTCCCTTTGGTGATCTCTCCAATGTCATCTATTAGGACATAATTCCTTGAAGTGTGGTGGTCAATGTCTGCATAGAAAGAGTCTGCAGATATGCTTGATATTGGACTGCTCACCATGCTGCTTCTTTCCTCCAAACCTATTCTCAAATCCAAACTATTATACTTGCTCCCGAGATGGGAGACAGCATACGTATTATCAGAAGAAACAGGAGCGATCATCAGGGGTTGGTTGCGAATCACTTCATAGTTGGAAGTTATCTTGGGTTCCAAATACAGTGTTGTTTGCCGAGGCTTCTGTTGTATCACCATCATCTGTGATGGTAATTGATACGATGTTTGTGGACTCGGAGTAGGTTGAGCTTGAGGTGTGAAGGACATGGTTGCCACCGCTTGGAAGGTTGGTTGAGTCTGGTAAGGTGAGACTTGCTGATGGTACAATGTCTGCTGTTGGAAATGAGATTGTTGAGTATACGGGGTGGGTGCTTGGGTGGGAAGAGCAGGCGATGAGTACTGGTATTGTGTGTAAGGACTGGTTGGAGGAACCAGCTGAGCTTCAGTTTGCGTTTGTGGTGGTATGAACTGGCTGAATTCAGTTTGGGGAGCTGTCCTTGGTCGCTCAATGCCGTGCTGACTTTCTATTCGGCTTGGTCTGGTGCTGCTGACCTCACTGTCAGACATGTAATCGCGGTCCTCAGCTACCCCCTGCAGGTAAGCACGCTCTCTCTTTTCTCTCTCCTTCAGTAACGCTTCTTTTCTCCTGTTGATTCCCATTTCCAGATACCGCAGCTTGGCATCAATCTCCTTTTCTTCTTCATCAAGTTCTGCTTGCTTCTTTCTAAGTTTGGCAGACTCCCTTTCCACGAGGTCAAGCTCTCGGTCTATGTCCTGGAGAATCTTGGCTCGAGCCATGGTATTGGTTCTGCACATTCTTCTCCTGGATGCAGTGCCCATTGTGCTGTAGGTCGGCTGTGTTCCGGTGGATGCCTCCTCAGGAGGGGGATTTGGCAGTGTTCTCTTCACTTTTTTCTGGGACCCAGAGGCGGTTGTGGTTTGGGAACCTTTAGTCTACAATCAAGTAAACAAAACACAGTATTTTACTATCAAATAAGAACATAAAGGCCAAAAACAAACTATATAAATTCCACTTGAATGATACACTGCAGTATTATAGCATAGCAAAATTAAAATTTCACCTGTATTTCAAAAGTTGATCACAAATCAGTGAAATTTTTTCTTTGTAAATTAATTTATAATCATAATGTCTGTAACATTTGAGGGGAGTATTTAACTCAGGGAAAACTCTTATTTTATGCAAGCTCACATTTTAGTTTCGCTCTTAGAAGAACTCTTTGCACACTTATTTTCAAGTTATTAAAAATAAGATTGCTTACTTAATCTATGCTCAATGTAACTGTGTTGCTCATCTGAAATGCCATATACATTTGTTGGAGATTTATGTCTAACTTTTTTGTTTCACCTTGTACATATCTCACAATTGCCAATATTTCCACAATTATTCCCATGCCCTTTAAATTTTGGTATTCTTTAGCAACTCTACCTTCCTCCAAGTGTTTTTATCAACTTTATAAAAGCAAAAATAATTGACTGCAATAAAAGTTTATTAGAGCTAGTTTCAATCAGGTAAAGCATTAAATTTTTAGAATAGCAAGTGAAGTACTTTTTGTTTTATTTCATTAATTTGACATAAACTTGTTTTTTGATGGGGGAAGCCTTGAGAATTATAAAATTAGAGACATGAAAGATCATTGTATAGTTACAATACCCTGATGCTCTCAAAGCTGTCTCTGTGTTAAACAGCAGCATGCTCAAGCTGGAGCTTGGTCTCTACTGTTCTCTTCCATTTCTTTAGAAGATGCCATTTTCCTTTCTCTCTTCAGCAATCCAAAGGCAATTCCTACCTACCTTCAGTCATCAAATACATAGGACATGAATAGATGATACATGTCTCTATGAGTTTTGGAAATAAAATCTCATTTCCTTATTTATTGTTATAATAATTATAAATTAGTCCTTAGTAACTAGATTGTATTTGTCTAGGCCCCTGTAATTCTGTTGCTTTCAAACATCATCTCATAGTCCATTTCCTTCATGTTTCATTTTTTTTAATTAAGAAAATTTTTATTCATTTTACATAACAATCACAGATCCACCTCTTCCCTCCTCCCATCCCTCCAGCCTCCCCCCTCCACCACCCATTTTCCAATCAAGTCCACTCATTCATTTGTTTATCCCTTTGGGGAAAACGTTAGCTCTCAATGTGCTGACCTTGACATAAATGTAATGATTGTCAGCACAGTACTCATTCTTTTATCAACTGGAATATTGAGATAGAAGTTGTGTCTTTAAAGATTCATAAAGACTTCTAAAAGCCTACTTTTCCTTCAAGTAAGCAAAAATTGAGTCTAATGTTCCAAGTCCAGGCTTGCTATATTCTAATATGTCAGATAGCAAGAACCTTGATCTTGGAAAAGAGAGTAGGTCATATTCTGAATGTGTTAGGTTAGGGAAGGTAAGCATTGAAGGTTATACTGTCTAACAAAGAATGACAAAAAATTGTTTTCTGGAACACCTTTTTCTTACATACTGGTGTTGCAACACTGAGTCAGAGTGAGTCGTCAGAATGAGTCATCCTTTCTGCCTTGTAGATAGACAATAGCAATGGATAGGTCAATGTTTATTCACTTTTAATTCCTTAAACAAAAGATGGGATTATCTTCTTCGAATATAACTACCTTCAGTGTGCAACTTGAAAAGAACTGATTGTTATTTTTAAGTATAGCCTTGTCAAGGACTTCTCGAGCTTTTCATCACTGTTATGGTTTTTATAGAATATTGTTGCCACTGGTTACATGTAAACTGTTGGGAGAACATAAAGTCTTGTAGGAAAGTTACACAGGGATGAAAATGAGAGGCCATCTGGAAAATAGACAAGGTCATGGACTCCATACCACTCAGGGCACAAAACTATGTTGGCGAAGCAGCTTAGGACGTGATGGAAGGAAATGAAGGGGAAGTGAAGCATTGTGCTAAGTGAATAAATCCCATCTGTTAAGCTTTAGGTTTCTTTCATAAAATATGGAGGCCCACTGTCAAGACATCTGTTTTGTTTTTCATCAGAAATAGGAATGTCCATTAAATTTTTGGTCTTCAATTTAAATGGATTCATAAAATTATCAATATCTGAGAAACCAAAGTTTTGGGGTACATGACAGTTATGAATCACTGCTCTAAAGAAGACTGTTTAGGCTTATGGGAAACACCCACTGAGATGCCATTCTAGGGTGGGGAAAACATAACAGTGGATGGTTGAAACAAGCCCAGAAGGCCATAGATTTTAAAGAATGAAGGAAGACATGGGGAGAATAAAATGGCCTTCAAGATAAGCCCTACAACTTTACTAACTTGTTGAGTTTTCTTCATCATTTAGCTAACTCTGAAATAGGATCCTTTAGAGATTTTTTCCCTCTACATTACACAATTTCCCCTTGTATTTTTGCCAATTTTATGAGATAGATTATTTCAACTACTCTCTGGTTCACAGATTTCTGGCAGATACACATATGTGCAGTGACTCTAAACTGTAAAATCATTAAATATGGAGATTTAAATTTAAGTGTGTATGGTTGAGTGTGTATTTGTTTTGGCACTGAATGGTATTCTAAGAGAGAAGAAAGAAACATATTTTTTTAAAAAAAAGTTGAACAAGCTAAATTTATGCAACAACTATTGTTTAAAGTCATAAATGCCAGAACAAAATTATTCAATAATTATATATATGACAAAACTCAGTTTTAAAATCTCTTCAAAGAGTTGCTATGCATAATTATAGAATGGGATGAGATAGAGCAGTTTGAACTTGCTCAAAGCCCAGTACGGTGACATCTGCTTGGTGCCCTGGCATCTTGAAGACTGAAGCACAAGACTCGTGTGTTTGGGAACAACACAAACCAAAGCTACAACGACAAAAAACCTTCTACCTATAAAAACATCATACACTGGAAAGCTTTTTTTAGGAAATTGTCTGAAGAAATTACTTCAAGGGTTTAGCATGACTTGATCATTACACATTACACAAGATGCTTACATGTGCAGTTTTTATGTTTCTGTTTCAGTTAAAAATAAATACAAATCAAATTATAGGGTACAGGAGAAGCGTTGTTGTATACAGTACTTGCCATGAAAGCATGAGGATCTGAATTTGATCTCTGAGAAACTACATAAAAAGCTGCTCATGAGCAAGAGCTTATAACCTAAGTACCGAGGAAACAGAGACAGGTGAACCCCTGGGCCCCTGGGGTTTGCTGGCAAACCATTCTAGCTGGGTCAGTGAGATCTAGGTTCTGCAAGAGAGCTTGTTTTAACAAATAAGATGAAGAGTAACTGGGAACACATACAACATTGACCTGTAGCCTACACACACACACACACACACACACACACACACACACACACACACACACATGCACACATATACTACACTGTTGCACTACTACTTTCTTGGCTAGCTCTTGGTGTCAATATCTGAGATGTAGTAGTGAACTATCATTATATCATTTGAAAGACAAGGCAATGTATGTCTCATTTTATAAACACATAAATAAATATTTATCATGATAGTTATACTGTATCTTGACTTTGCAGGTTTGTTTTCTCTGTTAAAGAGGAGAGATTTCTATGAAGTGCTTTTTTTCTTCTAAAAGACAGAGCGTATTTATGTTAAACACTACAAGTCAACCAAAACTGCTGATAAACAAGACATTTTGAGAATGTAAAGGTAGAATTGTCTAGAGAAAACATACTCTCTTTTATGTTGGTCCATGTAATATGCCAGGAGGTGAGTTAAAAGATCATATAGAGTATTGGGCCCCCAAATAAAGTTTTATTATCAGTTTGGGAAAGGAAAATATAACAGATATAACAAATTCAGGGTCAAAAATGGATGAGATTTAAGCGGGTGTATATATTCTATTGGAGGGAAATGTATAAAATACAAATTTTCAGGGCAACAGCAAGGATCATCTGGCTTCATTATCAGCTGGTAATGCAACAAGTCCTATGAGGAGAATCAGATCAGTGACTTCTTGATACAAGCCTGGAGAGGAAAACTGGAAAAATAAATAAATGTATGGGGAACTACAATACAAAACTTTGAAATCTGTGTCTATATTAAAATCTCAAACCCTCTGTGTCATTCTCTTTCAGGCTAAAAAGGCAACCCTGATTATCACATCAAGGTTAAATTACCCACCCAGGAACATATGAAATGCAGAACAAATCATCAGAGTGTCAGTATTCAGTCACTGGCTCTGGCTTGTGATATTGTCCATTGGGTAGTAATCAATGTGGCTTTGTCTAATTCCCTTCAGTGACCATGCAGCTATCAGAGCAGATAACACAAAGGCCATAGACATCATCTACCAGTGCTTCAGCAGGACATTCAATGTCTTCCCAAGAGCATCACCAAAATCGTTTTGGCCATAGAATGGAAAATAGTAATGTGATCTATTGGGTACATAAGAAGATCATGGCTATTCATGGTCTGGCACACACATTACATGCACGTATATAATTAGCCAATGTTACTTATCCTTCTTACTAATCTATTGGGACCAGATGTTTCTCTGCACATATTTATACCTATGGCCTTTATCTACCACACATAATATAAAAATTAATGTTGTGTATTACCAATCATCTCCTCAAGCAGCCTTTAGCTAATACTCACAGATACTAGGAAATGTTCTCAGGGAGAGATCATTATTCTAATATGATTAAATCTATCTCCTAATGTGGAAAAGGCTACTCTTTGTATGTATCTTACACTGCTTTAGTCTTAGTGGGAAAACATATTTCAAAAACAAAATAAAACAAACAAACAACAAACAAAAACCTGTTCCTAGAATGGTGCCTTGAAAAGACATGGGTAAGATAAACTACTCAAGAAAAAAGAGTCTATGTTACAGTAATAATCTGATAAAAATAAACCAAGAATGTACTAGATTACATTGCCTCATTATCAGTTTGCCCCATGAAAGTAAAATAAG